TGTGGAATCACTCGAACTGAAAGGCGAAACATTGCCTCTGAGAAGCTTTAATTGAAAAGGTTTTTTGATTCCTGTCAGATATTATGGTATAAATGAACAGAAAAACAAACTGTACGTCCTGAACTGCATTTGTGTTGAAAGACTAAAAGAGGTGAAAAGTTTTACGGTTTAATTTTAGCACTAAAGTGAAGAAAAGAAGACTTCATACCACATTAACATCAGTTTACATCAGTGTCCTCAAACCCTATCTTGGTGAAATGAACATACATGTCAGCCTCCTACATGCGTCTTTAGATCAGAGATCTGTTGGAGTTTTAATAGCCTCAGTCCCTCCCACTCAAACAAGACTTGATTATCAACAAAAAAAAACAACAAAATGCTGTAGCCACCAGTGCTCCGAGCTACATCTAATTAAAATCAAACACTGAGCAAGATCATGCAACTATTTCAACTCAGACTTACAGCTGCACAATCAACTGGAGACTAAAGCGTGTTTCTTGACTCCTCTACACCCTGGATACCCATTTTTGCATCCAATTAGTTCATATAGAGGGACAACCAAACAGATAAAGCATTGTTATGGAGGAAAAACCTAGCAGGTAAAAAGTTTTAAGAGAAAAAACAGCATGAGGATCATCTGCAACTAAAGAATGACTTAATTTCATCATCTACAGTAAGCTAAGATTCAGAGAACCACACCTTCGGCTGTAAAAAGGGGAGGAGCCACCCAATTTGATCCTAAAACACCAGAGACCTCTCTAAACCTGAGCACATTGAAGGTGGACTGAGGAGGGGTGGAAAACTGTCCTGTGTGAATCACACTGACATTTTTATACACTTAAATAGAGTTATAGTCAGTTATATAGATTAATAAAGATATGGTGCACACAGCATATCAGTATATCAGATTTTGTCCCACCACTACATAAAAAATGCCTGTTTTATGTATTTCTGTCAAACCAGGATCCTGAAAACCAGCAGACTGAGCCGTTTATTTCCTCCTACTTTTCCACTTGATCATCTCTATTGGTACAAAAACACATCTTGACAGACGTTTGTTACTGTCAGAGAACAACAAAATCAATTGTGTTTCATTTGTGCTCACTCATTAAGTTTTGTATGTGATACATCATTGCTAAGACAGAGTCAGCGCTGAAGACAGGCTCCTGATTGGATATGCACAGTGTGTCTGTTATGATCCCATCTATCCTGACTACAGTATTGACCTCAGGGCAGCTCACTTTAAGGGCAACAATAAAGACATTTATCAGTATGGATTTTCTCCCTGCAGCATGGACAGATGATGCAATTAGAGGAGAAAGTCCCATCAAATCACAGACGCAGATTGGTCTTTGACAAATGGATGTTTGGCCCAACATTTTCCAGGACGATAAATATCCTGACAATATTGTAAATGTTTCTCTGGACAGTGTTTAGGATAACTCATCGCTGGTCCAGAATCCATTATCTGTAACAGATGACACTCGTCTCTGCCGTGTGATGGTGGCTGTGATATTTTGCAGCATGCAGTTCTGCTCTGGCACTAACTCTCTTTTTTTAAGCAGAAAAATGAGTCTTTTATTGAAGAAGTAGCAGCAGCTTCTTCCCACTTTATCACAGCTGACAGGCTGGAGCAGCTCCGTGATAAAGCAGCATCACCCCACACCAGCTCTGTGCGTGCTACCACTGACCTTCGCGTTCTTTTCCTCCTTCACTGAGGCTGCAACAGGAGTCAGAGGGATGAGACCAGCAGCAGGTCAGTAGCACAATGTGGTACCTCAGGACAAAGGGAGAAAAAGTAAAAGTGAGTGGTTAAGTTCAGGTCCTGAGTCAAGTCCTGACAAAACACCCACTGACTTATACACAACTAGAAATGGCCCCCAAATGAGCTTTATACATCTGAAAAAGTCCAGAGAACCGACCTCAGCACTCTCATTCACTCTGCCAGTTTTTCACTGAAACACCATCAGAAGGTTTTTATGTAACACATGCCACATCAGTTTTCAGCTGCCAAAGCAAATTGTTGGCACATTAAACTTGGTCAAATAAATTACTTATAGTAGTTTAGGACAGCAGGAATGTTCCTGTGAAGCAACGAGTTTGATGAGGAACTCTGTGTGTTTGAATACCAGGGATGCCAGTCTATAGAAGATCTAATGCTTTATTAACACACGGGTACAGATGCAGGTGTAAAATGGTTTAATTGAAATTGATAAAAAATGAGTGCTTCGTTTTACAGACAGACACCAGCAGAGCAGAGAGAGGAGCAGAGACTGTATTAGAGCGATGTTCCTCAGATATTTCTTCTGGATTGCTGTCCGAGTTAAGGATAAAGTAGGATTGAATTTCTCTTAAGCTTTGTTTGTAAAACCATTATTAATTTGAACTGTTTAGTTGACATGTTAATTCATCAGGCTTGTTGAGTTGTATGTGTGAGAGTTTTGTAAATCCTCTGAAGCTTAGGCTGACTTCTCTAAATGCATCTAAGCTGGACCGGCTCCTAATTGGCCACTGTCTGTGCAGATTTCCTGAAAGTCTTCCAATCAGGCCAGTTTGCAGCAGAAGAGCGTCCACTCAGCAGGCTGTTCTCATTAAAATCAGAGCAGCTGCTGCTGTCAGCCTTTTGGGATCCTGTGTGATTAGTGTCTCTGCCTTTCAGGACCTGTGACTCTAAGCCCACACTGAGGCTTTTCCTGCACCGGGCTGGTATTTTCATAATTTCAGAGAAGAGGGAGACCACACAGCACCCTGCTCTGACCAGGTAAACAGAAAATCACACAGCTGTGTTCTGTTTTTTGATGATGCCCACACAGAAAAAAGACAGCTCAGACTGAGTTTTATGTCTCTCTTACATTTCTATGATTTTAAACCTGTATTTAAAGTCTGTCTGCAGCTCTAAAACCACTTCAGAGTTTTTTGTCACGTAACATGGGACAGTCGGCTGAGTAGATCCTGCAGGACAGCCTCACTTCACTGTAACATGATGTATTAGTAATGCAATGTTGCCTCCTTACTCTGTAGGAGTCAAGCAGACAAGAAATGAAGTTTCACACACCTCAGCTGGCCTGATCCAATTCCAGCCCACTTCAACATTCAGAACAGAACACAGGAACTGGGATATGAGCAGAACATTAACTCAGAATCTGAGCAGTCTGCACAGTCAACTGCACAGCTCTGACAGCTCTTTATTTCTGAAAACAAAGAGGATTTACTGTTTATCATTGCTAATGATGTGCAAAAAGGCACTTTAACAACAGTAACAACATATGTGCCTCAGTGCATCAGGAGTCCATTAATATAAGTTTGAGATTGTGAGACTGGCGTTTAGAAGGAAAACTGGTCCGAGACAAGTTCCCCTCTGATAACACAATCATTAACCAGAAGTTTTGTGTGTGTGTGTGTGTGTGTGTGTGTGTGTGTGTGTGTGTGTGTGTGTGTGTGTGTGTGTGTGTGTGTGTGTGTGTGTAGTTCAAAGAGGCTGCCTCCCTCTACTCTGAAATATTCTCCAGCCTCCTGCTATTTGGAACCAGACCAGTACGTATGAAAATACATACAACAGCGTATCTGGATGAAAAATAAGGCTTGAGTTGCTGTATCTGATATTAATAGTAATAATCCAGTAAAGTTCAGTTGTATAAACTTTTATGTGAAGTGTAAGTTACTTACTTACTTATCCTCTTTGTCCCAGTTGGGGCATAAGGCCGCAATCATACACTGCCACTGAACCCTGTCTCGTGCTTTGGCCTGTGCTTCTTCCTAGGTAAGACCTATCTCCTTCAGCTCCATCATCACTGTCCTTCGCCAGGTGTTCTTTGACCTGCCTCTCTTTCTTTTCCCAATTGGGGTCCATCTCAGGATAACTTTAGGTACCCTTTCATTGGGCATCCTCAGCACATGTCCGAGCCATCTTAACCTATGTCTCTTTATCTCAAGAGACATATGCAAGCTGCCTGTCTTTTTGTAGAGTTCTTCATTTGAGATCCTATTTGGCCAAAAGATGTTACAGATTCTCCGTAAGCAGCTGTTGTGGAAGACGTCAACCTTTCTCATATCCTGGTTTGTTACCCTCCAGCACTCAGAGCCATGCAGCCTTAACATTGCTCTTGTAGATCCTGATCTTGGTTTTGAGGCTATATTGTTTGGACTTCCAGATGTTGCGAAGTTGGCTGAAAGCACCGCTTGCTTTATTGAGACGTGCCTTGATGTCTTTTTGCGTCCCACTGTCACTACTTATAAGGCTTCAAAGGTATGTGAAGTCTTCCACACATTCCAACGCCACTCCATTGATGGTGATTGGAGGTGTCATTGGGGTGTTGATGCACATCACCTGGGTCTTTTTCTGGTTGATGTACAGACCAGTTCTCTTTGCATAATTGCTTAGCCGGTCAGACTTATCTTGGAGGTGGATACGGGTAGATGACATGACTGCAAGGTCGTCTGCAAAATCAACGTCTTCCATAAAGGAGAACAGTGTCCATTGAATTCCACAGGGACGGTCTGATGTTGTTTGACGCATCAACCAGTCAATGGTGGTTAGGAACAGAATAGGGGCGAGAATGCAACCTTGTCTTACGCCAGATCTAATGGGAAATGGCTGTGTCAGGGTGTTTTCGAGGATGACACTGCATTCAAAGTGTTCATAGAACTTCCCAATGACGTTGATAATTTTGGAAGGTATACCATATGCCCTTAGGATCTTCCATAGGCTTCTGCGATGGACACTATCAAAGGCCTTCTTAAAGTCGATGAAGTTAGGGGGCATTCTATTCAATACACTGTTCAATGATGTTACGTAAGGTAAAGATCTGGTCAATACAAACTTGACCTTTGCGAAACCCTGCCTGTTCCTCTCTTAGCTTGCCATCTATAGCACTATCAAATCTCTTGAGAATGATTCTACAAAAGACCTTACTAGGGACAGACAGAAGTGTTATGCCTCGCCAGTTGTCACAGTTTTTCAGGTCACCTTTCTTTGGAAGTTTGCATATGAGGCCCTTGCTTCATTCCCTTGGTATGGTATCTTGCTCCCATATCTTGGCAAAGAGGTCGGTTAGCACCCTGGAGGCTGTGGTGATATCTGCTATCAACATTTCTGCATGTAGCATGTCGATTCCAGGGGCTTTCCCCCTCTTCATATCCTTGATTGCAGCTAGGACTTCAGCTTGGGAAGGAGGATCAGTGTTAATGGCAAGGTCATCATCCAAAGGCTCTGGATCTGCTGGCTCTTCAGGTGCTGGTCCATTTAGCACTTCTTCAAAGTGTTGGGCCCATCTTTCAGCTTGTTCCCTTTCAGTTGTTAACAGGTTGCCTTGTTTATCCTTAACTAGTCTGGTGTAGTTCTTCCTTGGACCACTTAGCTGTTTGGTGATCCTATACACTATACTGAGTTGGCCTTTAGCTGCAGCCATCTCTGCTTCACTTGCCAGGTTCTCCACAAAGGCTCTCTTATCCCTTCGGGCACTTTTCTTGACCTCTAAGTCTTTCTCCTTGTACTCTTTCTTTGCACGTTCAGTTAGCCTGGGCGACTTTGCACTCAGCAGTTTGTCTTTGGCTTTCTTCCTCTCGTCAATTTTTGTCCACGTCTGAGGTGTTATCCATTGTTTGTCTCCTTTCTTTCTAAAGCCTATGACACTCTCTGCTGTTTCCTTGTACACTTTTATGTTCCCCCATGTCTTCTCAACATTGTTGTTATCTTCATTTCCTTCTCCGTCTTCACTTTCCAGTGCACTGAAGCGGTTTCTAAGCTCAATGGTGAAATCTTTTTTCACCTTTGGTGCAAGAAGCTTACATGCGTCGCTGTTTGATATTTGATGTTGCTCTGAGTTTTAGCCGAATCTTGGCTATGACCAGGTGGTGATCACTGCCTACTGCCATTATCAGGAGCATGTCATGTTGTGAGACCTTGGAGACTGCATATTGCAGTTGCTTGTACCATTCGTCCTTTGTGTCCTCCTCTGCCTCATTTGTAGGGGCGTAACACTGCAGGATGGTCATTTTACAGTATCGGGAGTCGAATCTTGCTCTTAGCAGTCTATCACTGATAGGTTCCCACTCCATGAGAGATTTGGATGCCGCCTTACTTAAGATAAGTGCTACACCACTGGAGTGTGCATCATCTTTCCCAGAGAAAAGGATAGTTGAGCCTCCTTTTGTTTTGTGGTTTGTGTATTGCAGTTTCTGTAACAATTTTTGTTTTCCGGGGTGGGGTTGTTAGCTTCACGCCCAACCTGGAGGACAGGTGCTGCTTTTTGTCTGGCCTCTTTCCTGTGACCTGCCCGGCTTGGTTAAACCTGCCAGGGGTTTTAGGCCCCCACCAATATAGCTCACAGGGTCCTTGGGGCACGCAAGCCACCCCACCACGTCAAGGTAGCAGCCCGGGGGTAGGAAGTGTAAGTGAAGGTCCTTAACTCTGCTGAGATCACAGAAACAACCTTTGTAAGAACCTACAGGTAACCCTTAAACTGACCCCTCAAAGTCAAAGCCCACAGCATGACACAAGTACATTATTTTAAATGATGTACATGCTGATTTGTAAAAGCAATCACAAAATTACTACAAAACACTGGCCCTGTGTTTATATTAATTTGTAATACTATTAAAGTCTAAGACTGCAGTCAAAAATTAAAAGGTGAATTCAGAGATAACAGTTAAAATTCAAAGATTACAGAAAGAATTTGGAGATTACGATTAGAATTAAGAGATAACAGTTAGAATTTAAAGATGACAGTTACAATTTATAAATTACGCAAAGAATTCAAAGATTACAGTTAAAATTCAGGGATTACAGCAAAATTTTAGAGATTACAGTTACAATTCAGATATTACAATTAGAATAAAGAGATTACAATAAGAAATAAGAGATGACAGTAAGAATTCAGAGACTATAGCTCGAATTCAAAGATCACAGTTATAATTCAGAGATTGCGGTTAGAATTCAAATATTACAGTAAGCATACAAAGATGTCAAATAGATTTCAGAGATAATTGAAAGAAAACAGAGATTACAGTTACAATAAAAAAATTACAGTGAGTATTCAGATATTACAGTTAAAATTCAAAGATGACCGTTAGATCTCAGAGATTACAGTTAGAATTTAAAGATTACAGAAAAAATTTAGAGTTTACAATAGGAATTCAGATAATACAGTTAGAATTCACAGATTTTAGTTAAAACATAGAAATTACAGTTAAAATTCAAGGATTACAGTAAGAATGTAAAGATCAGATTTATAATTCAAAGATTACAGTAAGAATTCAAAGATTTGAAAGTTAGAATTCTTAGATTTCAGTTAGATTTTAAAGATTACAGTTAGAACACAGAGATTGCAGTTAAAATGTTAAGATTTCAGTGAGCATTCAAAGATTACAGTTAGATTTCTGTGTGAGATGGAAAATTGGCTTTTTGCAGATATGTTATACGTGATGAACTTAACCGTACCTTTAGCCTTGTCCTTGCTTTACTGTCTGTCTACAGAACAAAGTTCAGTTTGTTCTTACTGTGGCCCCGACTACCCTTCACAAATTCAGAGAAGCGATAACTGCAAGTTTGATGTTTGACATTTCCAACTCGTGGTGTGGTTTCGGCAACTCTGCAGTTTTAATGTCACATGTTTTTCCCTCCCCAGGTAAACAAAGATATTGCCGTACTTGGTATCAGTCCAATGTCTGTTGCCGAGCAAATCCACCTGCATCCTGTATCTGTGTGTTTGCTTGGTATGCTTGATTTGCCAAATATGGTATTTGCTGAAGAACAGGAAGCTGTCTCTTGTCATGTTATATGTGTGTGCCCTCACTGAGAGCGCCTCAGAGAGATTTAGTAACTCAGACTGTTAGTTTACTCTCTGTTTCTAAATCTGCTCAATAAATGTTAGATTAAAGTTAGAATTCAGTGATTACAGTAAGAATTCAGATATTACATTTAGAAATCAGAGGTTCCAGTAAGACTTTAGAGATAACAGCTGAATTTAGTTGTTACAGCTAGAATTCAAATATAACAATTAGAATTCAAAGATGACAGTGAGATTTTAGAGATTACAGCTAGAATTCAGAGATTACAGTTAGAATTCAAAGATTAGAGTTAGAATTCAAAGGTTAAATTTAGAGTGCAGACATTGCAGTTAGATTTCAGAGATTGCAGTGAGCATTCTAAGATTACAGTTAGATTTCAGAGATAACTAAAAGAAAACAAAGATTAAAATGAGAAGTCAGAAATTACAGTTAGACATCAGAGATTACATTTACAATTCAGAGATTACAGTAAGAATTTAGAGATTAGGATTTTTAAATTTTTGGATTACCTTCAGAATTCTAATAGAGAATAACTTTATCTCAACTGTTGTGCAGCTGTTACCTTGGCATGACATTTACTACTTGTCACTGTGTACATCTGAGTCCAGCTTTTAGAGCCCCCCCCCCCTACAGTCGTAATTTTAAGATACTTAGAAAAGATTACGTCTACATTACATGCCTATTCTGTAGGCGTGGAAGAAAACATGTTCATTACATGGATGAACATCTGCTCTGTCTGTGATGCAGGGTTTAATCGTCATGCTTGTTCATGCACAGTTCTGTTTAGTCAGCTCAACTGCAGTCATGCTTGTCTGTCCCCCCTCATCTCTGCAGTCAGCAGAAAGCTGAGAGGGAACATTTTGCAAATCCATGTTGGTCCTCAACATCATCTTTAAATTGATAACGCAGGCATGCTACCTCTAAATTATACTCATAAATCTGACCCAGGTGCTTTTAAAGAGCTTGCTCTGGAGCTAATGCCTCCTCCTCTGGATTTACATCAACTCTCTGATTGGATAAAGCCAGGTTATTGATTCTGACCTGATTATGATTGATTTGCACTGAGGAATTGTCAATGAATATGAGAAATTAGGATACAGTCAGTTATATTAGCTGTAGTATTTACCTTTATCAGTCATTTTGGATCCTAAATGAAGTGCATTAATGATGCAGCAGATTTAGAGCTAATTTCTCATTTCTATCTGGCAGGGGGAATCTTGCAGGGATGCAGTGGACAAATGAAACTGTTGTGTTGGTAATATCCTGATGATCCCCAACACTTTCATTTTCTGTAGCAGAGTGCTTTTCTCAGTGCAATTAACCGGACAGGAGCCCTTCCCCCAGGTGGACGGAGAACAAAGCAGGACAAAGGGACTTGCAGGAAGCTGACAACGCACTCAGGGCATCAGTACAAAGGCCTCTAGAGAGACGCTATCCTTGGCCAGCTAGCCGTTAGTGAGGCGGCAATGACCTTTTCAGCTGTACTATGACCGAAAAGGAATTAGATATAAGACTGGGATGGAAAGAGCCCGGCGGGGTTGGAGGAATTAAGGAGAGCAGGAGAACAGAATCATCAGTCACACAGGCTCTGTCTGGATGCTGCTGTTTATAACTCAGGGTGTTGATATGCAGAAACTGCATGTTTAATTGCTTTGCTCTGACCTTGGGGAACACAGCTGAGTTTGTTGTAGGTTTGCTGGATGCTTGAATAGACAGATGGACAATGAGAGTGAACTCATTCAGGGCAGTTTAGCAGAGAGAAAACACTTTACTGCTTAATCGTTTCTGTGGAGAGTGATAGAAGATGTGACCCACATTTATATGCATGCATGCAAAACTGTTTGCCCAAAAATGCATTCAGGGAAACAAAAGCTGTGTCTCAATTCAGGGTCTGCACACTTTAAGTGCGGATTTCAAGGGTGTGTAGCGTCATCACGCGACACTAAGGGTGCCCCATCATTTCAGGGACTCCACTTCTGGAAGAACACTAACAGACAGGTACTTAGAAAATAAAGGATCTGGTTATCACAGGATAAATGATGGTACAACATCCATGCAATAAATGAGGATAAGATGAGTATAGATAATAACAGATGAATGAAAGATTCTGAGTCAGGCTAGGATTACTAAAGTTAATGATAGTGAGTGAATATGCTCTAACATATTAACCTACATTAACTATGGTGTAAAGATAAATTTGGATGTGGTTATCTGAATTATGAAGCATGAGACATCATCAGCCCTGATTGGAGCTCTGGAGGTTTAGATACTTAAGTGAGGCTGGTCCTTGGAGAGGATGGAGCAGGATCCGAAGGTCCAGGCTACCGGTTCAGAGGTTCAGCTCTGAAGAGGACTGAAGTCAGACGAAGGATAGGCTGGGAGTCACAGCACATGGGCCCGAATGCAAAAACCAATGCCTTATGGCTCCTTTTGAATGCTCCTTTGGCCTCACTGCAATACTCTGGCTCAGAAGATGACTTTGGGCATGCTAGGTGGCATTCAGAGGTGACTTGTCAATCACGCAGATAACCAAGAAAAAGAGGCTCAATGACCAGTTGAAACTATTTCAAAAAAGGCTTTGCGAAATTAAAAAAAGATCAACTAAAGGCTTAATCTTGAATTGCTATGCGCACAAAAAGTTGACGTTTCACAACTTGAACTAAGACGATGGTAAAGAAAAATCAACATGAATGAACATGTGGCAGAAAACGTAAAAGACTAAGGAAAAGTAAGACAAAGAGAAAACAAGCTAAAAAAAAGAAAAAAAAAAGAACGGGAGAGAGCAAACAAGAGAGAGAGAGCACCCCAGCTTTACTGGTTATATACCCTTCAGACAGGGAGTGTCTCTAAGGTGTGAGGAGAGAAAGGGTCCAACTTATGCTTTGGCTATTAAAGGAGTCAGATCAAATATTCACTCACTATGATTAATGTTAAAGAATGCTTGGTTCATAATAAAGGATTTGATGTTAAACACATATGAAGAGTTATAGAATCACATTAACAAACATTCTCATTATGCTTTGAGTATCACTTTTCAAAGAACATTGATTAAATTACTCTGAAAATGAAACGGAAAGTAACATAGAAACTGTGAATAACACAAGGGTAAACACATGTAAATGAACTTCATAACAGTTAATAATGAATTCTACAAACCAACATTCAGATTATTAACTAACAGTATAACTACCTAATGGTTAACAAAGCTAAACAAATGATTAAGAGATAAACTAAACATTTCTACACTACTCCTACTAGCATAGGGTTAT